CTGCCTGCGGATGCAGTGAGCAGACCCCACAGTTTCTCCTGGCCCTGTTCCCCGGTCTGTCCCTTCCCCTGTGGTTGAGGGTGGCCTTTCCCTGAGGTAGACCCTGGGGGAGCCAAGCTGGTCCCAGACAGGAAGTTCCTTTCTGGGTGCTCCCAGCTGCCCTACCTACCCGCCGCCCCAAGTCCTTGGGTTCAATGTTTACTTTCTCATTCGGATGCCAGCAACGATGGAGCCTCCCAGGGTATCCCCAGTGAGGTGGGGGGCACCGGGCAGGGTGTCTCCACTCCCTGCTGCCTCTACTCTGCCTGGGTGTAGGGGGTGCCAGGGCCCTGGGTTGAGGGGCCCCCGCAGCCCTGCCATTACGGGTTGTCTGACCTTTGGAACGTGACATTTTTTGTTGTTGATAAGCTTTGCCCCAGTCCCCACACCCATGTCACCCTGCTGGCGGCCCCCACCTGGGAGGCCAGAGCTTATTTATTTCCATAGTGAGCAGGTTTTTTGTTTTTTTGTTTTTGTTTTTGTTTTTTTTTCCTTCCAGAGAAAGGAAAATAGTCTTGGAAATGATTTTAAACCTCAAATCTTAGTCTTAGAAGACAGCTCCTCTTCCCCCCCCCCAGCCTCCGTCCCCACCCTCTTCAGGATTGATTTCCATGAATTTGTTTTCTTGTGTATAAAATCAAAATGAAGGGAAGAAAAGAATTTTTCTTTGGGCGTTCAGAACCAATCCCTGTAGATAGACTGCCATAACGGACTTTTTCTCGGGAACTCTGTTTCTTGTAGAAACGTGGGAAGACTTTTTTTTTTTTCCTTATTTCTTTGTACTTCCAAAAAAAGCAAACCAACCACCACCAACAACAACAACAACAAAAAAAAGTGACACACACAAACAGCAAGTCCCCTGTCCCCCCCAGAAAGCAGAGCAGGCATGTAAATACTTCTGGACCGTGACTGTTGTGACCCGGAGTCCTCACCGAGGTGGAAGGACTCCAGGTGGGGCTGACCCCACCCGTGGACCAGGGCGAGCCTCTGGTATCTCAGCTTGTGTCAAGCTTATATGTAAATTCTGTACAAAGAATTGTTACTTTCTCTCTCTCTCTCTCTCTCTCTCTCTCTCTCTCTCTCTCTCTCTCTCTCTGTCTTTGGTGGTTTTGTTGTGGATTTTTTTTTCCCCTTTTTGAATTCTCCACAGGCCCTCTGTGTTTGAGACTGTGCCCACAGGTCTGAAGGTCAAGATCAGTGGCATTAAGACACAGGGGGGTACCTGGGCACAGCATCGACTTCTCTTCCATTTACAGTGTTCTGCATAACCGTGCAGATGAGGAAAAAAGAAATATTTATTTTTCACAAGAAGAAATGTGTAGTGTGTAGAGATGGCTAATTTGAGTTACTTGTGCAGTCCCCTCCCCACCCCACCCCCCAGTCCCCCGCTAGGGGCAGTTTTCATTTTGCCTACTTCATCTACCACAAAAGGGTAAGGATGAAGACGCCCAGAAGCCAGGGAAGAGCTGCCAGGTCCCAGGCGGCGCCTCATTGAGCCCCATCATGGGATCCGAGGCGCACTAACCTTGGCTGACCTTGCTGATGGGTGAGGTGTGGAGGCTGCCGCCCTCTCCAAACCCCTGGCCCACCCCCAGGAATGGTTTGCGATAATCCTGATATGTGGGCCCATTTTTCTTTGAAAGCTTTTCTTATCATTGAATAGATCTCTGCTTTTGAAGGGTCAGGGGGTTCTGATTTTTGTCTTTTTTTTTTTTTCTTTTTTCTTTTTCTTTTTTTTCCCCCTCCCTCTCCCTGCCCCTGCAAAGAAAAGAACCAGTCAATTTTAGGGTTGTCTGTTCGTATCGACTCTGTCATCCGTATGTAACTTGTTTTTGAAGAGAAGTGTTTTCGTTGTGGGTGTGTCTTGCTGTAAATATTTGTTCATATTTTTGTGAATTCAATACTATGTACCATTGTATTATAGTAACTTTTATAAAGCAAACCATAAATATACTGACTTTTCTTACAGATTCGCCGTCTCTCTTGCTCTCCCCTCCCCTCCACACCCCCTTTTTTTTTCCTCCCTGTTGAAAGTGTGCCCTGTTCACAAAGAGGGAGGGTTAGCCAGGCCCAGGTACCTGGAGGGCGTGGTGGGTTTGTTTGTATTTGAGATTGTTTTACTCTGTGGCCCAGGCTGGGCCAAGAATTTATAGCTGTCCTCCAGCCTCAACCTCCTGAAATGCTGGGCTTGTAATCGGGAGCTACTAGGTCAGGCTGTCCATGTTTCATCTCCACTTGATCTTAAGGCTCGGGTTCAGTGATTGGTTCTAAATTCTGAGCCTGTCAGTGAGTTCTGAACTGGGTCTGTCTGTAGTCAAGCTAACCTTTTGGTTTGTTTCTGTTTTGTTTTGGTTTTGGTTTTTCAAGACAGGGTTTCTCTGTGTAGCTTTGTGCCTTTTCTGGAACTCACTCTGTAGACCAGGCTGGCCTACGAACTCACGGAGATCCACCTGGCTCTGCCTCCCGAGTGCTGGGATTAAAGGCGTGCGCCACCGCCGCCCGGCAAGGATTTTTTTTCCCCCTAGCTATTTTTCTTAAGACCTTAGGTATCTAGAGCTGCTAATGATCTGTAATTAAGCAAAAATCAATGCCATAGGCCTATCAGACCAGTTACTCCAGAGGCTGAGGCAGGAAGATCAGAAGCTCAAGGCCTGGGCTATGGAGTGAGTTCAAGCCCAGCCTAGGCAACGTAGCGAGACCCTGCCTCAAGATAAACAGTGTAAGAAGGGTCTGGGAGGCTGGCAAGAGGACTCAGCACTTAAAGAGGCTTCCTGCCGAGCCTGGTGGCTTGACCTTGATGCCCTACAACCCACAAGGTGGGAAGAGAGAACGGATAGCTGAAATTGTCCTCTGACCAACACGTGTGGCCTGCTCTGGTGGCCGGTCATGGGATGAGCCTCCAGGTGCTTCTGAGAAGGAAAGACTGAAGCCCTGAACGAGGCTGGGCATAGCGGCAACCCACACTCAGTAACGCCAGCACTTGGGACGCAGGCAGAGGGATGGCTAAGAGTTCTAGGCCCGCCAGTGTTAAAATCCTGCTGCACACAGAACAGGGCTAGCGTTAAAATCCTGCTGCACACAGAACAGGGCTAGCGAGACGGCTCTGGATGTCAAGACACCTGAGCCGGGGTATAACTTGAATGCAGCCCTCAGAACCTACAGTGGAAGGAGAGAACTGGTTCCTGGGAGCTGTCCTCTGGTTTCACATGCGCAGTGGCAGGTGCAGGCCTACACCCACCCATGCGTGGCACATACAATAATAATAAAAATTAAAAAACCAAAACAAACCTGGGTGTCAAGCCAAGCAAGGTGATTCAGGCCTGTAATCCCAGCACTGGGGAGGCAGGAAGATTTTGAGGTCAAGGTCAGCCTGGGCTACATACTAAGATCCTGTCTGAAAAAAAACAAACAAAACCCCATGTACATTGCCACTGTGCTGGCCATAGTTCTAAATATGTTTGATGTAAAAGCCACAGCAGTGTTAGGAGATAAGTACTTTCTCCATTCACTAGATGAGGGAACAGGCACTGGGAAGTAGCATGCCCAAGGTCACCTAGGTAGCAAGCAGCTGATGTGGGATGTGACCCTGGCAGCCCGAGCCTACTGAGGGGTGTTAGGAATATGGAGGTGCCTATGACTTAGTACCAAGGCAAGACCAAAAACAAGGGTGTCTGTGGTGAGACGAGCCAGAACCCCCAAGTGTGTATGTGAAGTGGCCCAGCTTTCTAAAATGTTGACTCAAGAAGGGCATGGTGGCACATCTAATTCCAGCATCCCAGAGGCCAAAGCAGCTGAACTTCTCAATTTGCGGAGCAGCCTGGTCTACACAGAGAGTTCCTGGGCAACCAGTTACACAACCGTCTCAAAACAACCAAAGAAAAACCAATCCAAAACAACAACAAAATATTGACTTGGCTGGGCGGCAGTGGTGCACGCCCTTAATCCCAGCACTCGGGAGGCAGAGGCAGGCGGATCTCTGTGAGTTCAAGGCCAGCCTGGTCTACAAAGCGAGATCCAGGACAGGCACCAAAACTACATGGAGGAATCTTGTCTCGAAAAAAAAAAAAAAATGACTTGTTTGAAGTCACGCAATCAAAATACGCCCAGATGTGGCCCACAAGCAATAGCTTTGCACCCTCCCGGGCTAGAGAATTTCTTTTTTTTGCATGAGCCATGGAAACAGGGAGAATTTTTGCATTGGCTGCAGCCCTGCTCCTCTTCACTTTCTCCTGGTCTTTTGTTTTTGTTTTGCTTTGGGAGTCTCAGTACATCATGGAGACTGCCCTCAAACTTCTGATCCTCCTGCCTCAGTCTCTGGAGTGCTGGGATTACGAGCGTACGCCACCACATCCAACTTAGACTTTCCACTTCTTAGTTCATGATCTTAGAAGTCCTGATTTTTCCTCTCATTGGAAAAAGCAAAAAAAAAACAAAATAGAAGCTATTGAAATTCTCCACCATGATACCAATACTGTCTTAGATTTTTTTTTTTTTCTTGAAGAGATCAAAGTGTTTCTAGTTTGTCATGACATGGTGCCACACATGTTTGGTTCCCAACCCTTTGGGGAGGTGGAGGCAGAGGCAAGCTGAACTCGAGTTACAGGCTAGCCTGGTCTACATAGCAAGTTCCAGGTCAGCTTGGGCTACATAGCGAGACACCACCCCCCATCTCAAAATAAAGTGAACCACAGGGCAGTGGTGGCACAGCATGCCTTTAATCCCAGCACTTGGGAGGCAGAGCCAGGCAGATCTCTGTGAGTTCGAGGCCAGCCTGGTCTACAGAGCGAGTTCCAGGACAGGCACCAAAGCTACACAGAGAAACCCTGTCTTGAAAAAAAAAAAAAAAAACTAATAATAATAGTAATAATAATAAAATAAACTGAGCCTAATTTTAAGTTCATTTGTGCTCAAGAAGGTTATCAGAGTAAAGCGAAAAGAAAAAAAACCAAAGTCCACCCCCACTCTGTTTTTTGTTTGTTTTCCAGCGCTGGGGATAGAAACTCTTAAGGTATGCTCTGCCTCTGAGCTGCACCCCTAGAGTTTTGAAGAAATAATGATCCCGTAGCTTTTGGACCATTAGCTCCGTTCCCAACTGCCTCGTCGTTTCACAGTGTTGAGGAAATGCAGCTGCCCTGGGGTTTGGGGCACTGGTGACTGCCACGATGCTCAGGGTGCAGGGCAGGAGCTGAGGGATTCAGATCGCTTCGGTCTGGACTCTCTCACAGACCAGGAACCATGTCCTGCGATTGCTGAGAAAGGATCCCCCCCTAAAGTCCCTTGATCCCCTTCATGTTTTTCCGAGTGAGGACATTAAGGAGGGCTCATCTTTAAAGGTTTTAAAGCCCTCCGGACCTTGTCTGTTTCCTCTTTCTGGGACTTTTTTGTGGATCAGATGTTCGCTGGACTCAATTCCACCACCCGCCTTATTGTCTTAGTGGCATTTATCGCTCTTTGAAACGGTATTATCTCTTTGCCTCTGGAATGTATGTTCCTTGTGCCTAGTTTCACAAGTTCGTCCTACCTAGGGTCCCCGTTAAGTTAAGTTTTTGCACCCTGCACCTGGGGCTCCCCACACAGAGGCCTCAGGCAGCTCAGCGGTCTTGGTCTCCCCCTGGCGGCGAAATGATGCCACTAATTCCTTGCCGGGCACAAACACCAGACACAGCTCTGGAGGGTCGCTTTACTCAGCAAGGAGGGACCCTTGCCATTGAGGGGGCGTGGCCACGATGTGGGTGGAACCCCGGGGTTGTCCCTCAGCCGGCTGGAGATGATTGATGTACCCGGCCCCTTGCGTGGTCTGGGTGTGAGCGGGACCTACATTCCAGACCTCACCCCGTTGGTCTCCAGGTCGGTGAGGTTGCCCCGTAGGGCTTGCTCTTCCTCGAAAGCCTTGAACAGGGAGTTGAAGTTGCCCGCTCCGAAGCCCTGTGGCGATGGAAGGCAAGAATGAGGTGGGGACCTAGCAAGTAGCGGGTGCTACCCATTGGGCACGGCCTTACCTGGTGGTTGTGGCGCTGGATGACTTCCAGGAAGAGTGTGGGCCGGTCCTGCATGGGCTTGGTGAAGATCTGCAGGAGGTAGCCTTTCTCATCGAAGTCTACCAGGATTTTCAGCTCCTGGGAGGGAGAGCAGACTCCGTTAGAGGAAGGCCCAACCGCCCTTGTGGGATCCTCAGAAACCTGGAAGGTTCCTGCACCACCAAAGCCAATAAAAGACCCCTGGCCCCAGTTTCAGCTTCCTCCAGATATGTTCGCAATCTATCCTGCCTGAGCCACCCCGGTGCTAACTCCTGCTTGGGGTCCGGCTTCCTTTCATCCCATTCCCTCATAGCCCCCATCAGATGTCACTGGGACGCTCTTCCGTGTTGCTGATGCGAATGTAAAATGCTGCATCCACTTTGGCAAAAGAACCTGGGAGTGTCTCGGAAGGTTAACCATGTCTTCTGCCCCAGAAATGGCTCAATGGGTAAAAACACTTGCTACCGAGCTTGAACACCTGAGATCGGTTCGTCCCAGGAATCCACAGTGTGGAAGGAGAGAACAGACTCCCACGTTTGTGCCATGCATGTCCACGCACACAACAAATAAATGCAAAGAGAATTTCTTAAACATATTCGCATGTGCCGGATGGTTAGACTCCTGTATACACAAGAGACTTGAGAGGGAATGTCCGTGCAGAACCTTGTACACCAAAGTCCACAGAAACATTAGCCATGATAGCCAAAAAACAGACCCAACTCACAGCCACCCACCGATGCAGGGATAACCAAAGTGTGATTTACCCACGCAATGGGATGCTATTCAGTCGTGAAAAGGATCCAGTGCTGCATAGGCCTGGCCTCGGGGGCTGGAGAGAAGGCCCAGCAGTTAAGAACACTTGCTGCTCTTCGAGAGGACTCAAGCTCAGTTCCCATCACTCACATCAGGCAGCTCACAACCACCTGCAATTCCAACTCCAGGGGATCCGATGCCCCGACCTCTGCAGCCACTTCATGAGCAAACACTCACATGTAGACAGACACACACCCACACATAAAAACAAACAAACAAAAAGATTTGTTTGTTTGTTTTTGTCTTTTATTTGGTTTTGGGAGGGTTGTTTTGTTTTGTGTTTTTGTTTTGTTTTGTTTTGTTTTTTCAAGACAGGGTTTCTCTGTGTAGTTTTGGTGCCTGTCCTGGATCTCGCTCTGTAGTCCAGGCTGGCCTCGAACTCACAGAGATCCGCCTGGCTCTGCCTCCTGAGTGCTGGGATTAAAGGTGTGGACCAGCTGTGTGATACTTTTTTTTTAATAGCTTTTTTTAAAGATTTATTTTATGTGCTTTGGTGTTTTGCCTGCCTGTCTATATGAGGGTGTCAGATCCTCTGGAACTGGAGTTACAGACAGTGGTGAGCTGCCATGTGGGTGCTGGGAATTGAACCCAGGTCCTCTGGAAGAGCAGCCATTGCTCTTAACCATGGATCCATCTCTCCAGCTCTTTTAATAATTTCTTAAGATTTATTTATTTTATGTATATATACGGTGCTCTATCTGGATGTACACTTGTACCCTAAAAGAGGACATCAGATCTCATTATAGATGGCTGTGAGCCACCATGCAGTTGGTGGGAATTGAACTCAGGACCTTGGGAAGAGCTGATAATGCTCTTAACCTCTGAGCCATCTCTTGAGCCCCCAAGTTGGTGGCACATGCCTGGTCTACAGAGCAAGTTCCAGGACAGCTAGAGCTGTTACACAGAGAAAACCCTGTCTCAGGAAACAAAACAAAAACAAACAACTCCCCCACCCCCCACCCCCCCAAATCTTAAAAAAAGAAAGAAAGAAAAAGACAGCAGACTAGTCACATCAGTAATCTCTGGATTTGATTGAGAGACCCTGCCTCAGTGAATAAGGTAGAAGAGTGATGAGGATGATTTCCAACATCAACCTCAGGCCTCCACATGAACCCACACTCACATGTATGGCTCATACAGGCAAGTATGCACATACATGTATATACCCCCCCCACACACACACGGGTGGAGGAGAGAGAGAGAGAGAGAGTGAGAGAGAGAGAGAGAGAGAGAGAGAGAGAGAGAGAGAGAGAGAGAGAGAGAGAGAGAGAAATGAAAAATTTTAAAGTTATAAAAATAAAAACAAGCTGGGCAGTGGTGGTGCACACCTTTAATCCTATCACTAGGGAGGCAGAGGCAGGTATCTCTGTGAGTTTGAGGCCAGCCTGGTCTACAGAGCAAGTTCCAGAACAGCCAGGGCTACACAGAAAAAAACAAAACAAAACAAACAAAAAAATAAAGATAAAATGACGAAACCTCCCAATAGTTTCTAGCCAAAGAAGAGAAAAACCCCAAATCATAAATACCCATAAGAACTGGCCCCTACTAACCCGCCTGGCCTCCATCCCAATTCAAAGGTAGCCTTCTTTCTGTCCCTCACACACTTGGAGACAGCACTTGCTTCAGGACCTTTGTGTGTATTACTTTCTCTGCCACGACTGCTCTTTGCCCAGCCCTTCACGTGGCCAGAACTTTCTCTTATGTATAGATTTCAGTTAAAGTCGCCAATTTGGAGAGGCCTTTCCCGGCTATTTGTCTGCGAAGCAGCCTCAAGTGGTCTGTTTTCACTTCTGCATGGTGCCAACTGTCGCTTGTCCCTGTCACCCCCATTCCCTCACCCCAGTCCGCAACTCCCATGCTGGGCGGGATCTGGTCTGGGTTTTCACTGTGTGTGTGGCCCAGGGGACTCAGGGTTCATGTTCTTCCCAGCTAAGCAGGGGCCGGGCCTCACCTCCAGCACGTCCATGCTCTCCTTCACCTGGATCTTGGCCGTCTTGAGATTCTGCCGCAGCAGCTTGTAGTAGGAAGACGGGACAGCCAAGAACTCCATGCCTCGCTCCCTCAAGTGGCGGATCTGTCACAGAGCAGGGTCCAGGTCAGCCTGTTTGTCTAAGCTCAACTACCATGGCCAGGGGGAGCTGACAGGGCGGGAGGCGGCAGGGACCCCGTCCAAGCTCCTCTGTCAGGATGCCGTGTGACCCCCTCCGTATGTCTGAACTCTACAGAACAGCAGTGATTGCTCTCACAGAATATGCCTTTCTATGTGTTGCTAGGGAAACCGAGGCAGAAGATATCTGTATCTGTCTCAGCACAGCAACTGGATGATTTAGGTAGATAGAAACCAAGCATGTCACTTCATCTTAACCCACGATGATGCCCCATGTCAGAGTCACAATTCAAGGTCCCATCCATGGCCTCTACCGCCTGCCCCCCCCAGCCACATCTTCCTGTCTCCCTCCCTCCTTCTGTCCTAGCCACACACTTCTCCTTGCTGCTTCTCATCTTCGTCTTGGTGGTCCTTCCTGTCTGGGGTACTCTCCCCAATTCTGTAGACATCGCTTCTCAAATGCCCCCTCCTCCACGTGGCCCTCTGTCCTGGCTAGTTTTACGTCAACTTGACATAGACTGGAGTCATCAGAGAAGAGGGAACCTCAGCTGAGAAAATGCCTCCACGAGATCAGGCTGTAGGCAAGCCTGTAGGGCATTTTCCTAATTAGTGATTGATGGGGGAGGGCCCAGCTCATGGTGGGTGGTGCCATCCCCTGGGCTGGTGGTCCTGGGTTCTATAAAAAAGCAGACTGAGGAAACCACGGGGGAGCAAGTCAGTCAGCGGCACCCCTCCATGGCCTCTGCACCAGCTCTTGCCTCCAGGTTCCTGCCCTGCCTGAGTTCAGTCCTGGTCCAAAGGATGGACAACTGGCCGGTGTAAGAGCTGTGGGGAAAAAAGCTGGTAAGTGAGAGAGGGTGGAAGATAAAGCACAGCACATCTAAATAGGGTAATCAAGGAGGGTGTCCTACTCAGGGTCTCCATTGCTGTGATGGAACACCATGACCAAAGCAACTTGGGGAGGAAAGGGTTTATTCGGCTTACACTTCCACATCACAGTTCATCACTGAAGGAAGTCAAGACGGGAACTCAGGCAGGGCAGGAACCTAGAGGCAGGAGCTGATGCAGAGGCCATGGAGGGGTGCTGCTTATGGCTAGATAGGACCTGGCCTCCTCAAAGGCTGCATCCATAGGCAAAGCATGTTTAATTTGGCTAAAAGGACATAAGTGGTCTTATAGTCTAATAGTCTTATTTTTAGAGTGAGGCACATTGAGGCCCAGAGAGCACACTGAATCCCCTGGGGCACACAGCAAAGTACCAGTAGGGCTGGGACTAGAGCCCAGGAGGCCTTCCTTATACTTGGGACTGGATTTTTCTGCAGAATGAACTCTTCTGTTATAGTGTGTGTGTGTGTTGGGGGGGGGGGGCGAGGGAGACGGTAACTTTGTGAGTTGCAGGATCTGGAAGGAAAGCCCTGTCATACCTCCAGGGGGACCGCCACCACCCTCTCCTACTCTGCTTGGCAGAGACTGTCCCAGCAGTGGATAGAGAGGGCACGTGGCCCAGGAACAGGGTTCTAACCGTTGTGATGATGTCTTCTGTCTTGAGAGCGATGTGCTGGACCCCAGCACCCCCGTTATAGTCCACATATTCCTAGGGGAGGGGAAAAAGGGAGGAGACCACAGCTGTTTGTCCCGTCACTCAGTCCTGTACCCCGTAGGAGCCCTCACACCTCCCTCCCTGTTCTCTCCTACCTGAATCTGGGACTTCTTCTTGCCCGGAGCTGGCTCATTAATGGGCATCTTGATAGACTCCTCGTAGTTGGCCACCACGATGGAGCGCAGAGAGCTGTATTCCGTGTGCACCTGAGTGTCATCCACGGACCAGAAACGGTGGAACTGCAGATTTTTCAGGTACCTGCAGAGTGGCCAGAAGACATACCCCTTGAGTGCCTGCCCAGACCCCCTTACTGTCTTTTTATTTCCACCGTGGAGCATATGTCCGTTAAGCAATCTCTACAAAAAGTGACAACACAGCTGGGCAGTGGTGGCGCACGCCTTTAATCCCAGCACTCAGGAGGCAGAGGCAGGAGGATCTCTGTGAGTTCAAGGTCAGCCTGGTCTATAGAGCGAGATCCAGAACAGGCACCAAAACTACACGGAGAAACGCTGTCTCGAAAAACCAAAAAACAAGCAAACAAACAAATAAATATATAAACAGGCTCAGGTAGGTAGCGGCACTCCTTGATGAAGGTGAGCGTTTCACAGTGAATCTGTAACTTTAGCTTAGCCTTCCACTACCTTGTACCCTATTTCCACTTCCGTTAAAGACCTGGGGAGATGGGGGCTGCTGAGAACACTCAGTGGATAAAGGCATTTGCCACCAGGTCTGATGGGCTCCACCCGTGGGACCTGGGTGACAGAAGCAAAGAGTCAGCTCTCACCCATTGTTCTCTGGCCTCCACACATGTGTCGTGGGACGTGTGTGTCCCCACGTATAAGCACATGTAAAAAATAAAAATATTAAATAAGCAGATTTGGCGAGGGGGCTTGTCTCCTGTCACAGAGAGGGGTAGGCCAGGGACTCACCACTCTGAGGCAGACAGCATTTCCTGGTCAGGTTGGTTGCCTACAATATGGTCGATCACCTCGAGGTTGCAGCTGGGCCTAGGAGAGGGAAGGGGTTGGAAGATGAAAAGACTAGCCTCCCCCAAAACAAAACTCTCCATTGCCACAAACCCTTCAACAACACTAGTAGCCCACATTTGGGTGGCCATCCCTGCTGTGTATTAGGCACAGTTAACTCAACAGCTGTTAACATCCCCATTTTATTTTATTTATTTATTTTTTTCAAGACAGGGTTTCTCTGTGTAGTTTTGGTGCCTGTCCTGGATCTCGCTCTGTAGCCCAGGCTGGCCTCGAACTCACAGAGATCCGGCCTGCCTCTGCCTCCCCGAGTGCTGGGATTAAAGGTATGCGCCAACGCCGCCCAGCTCTCCCCATTCCCATCTTATGAGGAAGAAACATAGACACGAAGTAGAATTCTTGCACGAGGTTAAGCGGCTGACTAGGAAGTGATAGAGCTGGGATGTGAACTCGGACAGTCTGGTGCGCAGGGGTGCGGGGTGGGGGAGCGGTCCAGGCCTTCCTCTTCTATGCCACTGTTCGGTGCCTGTCCCACCTTCAAAAGTTCCTCGGCAGATGCCTCCAGATGTTCCAACCTCCCAGAGAAGCCCACTCCACGGAGTGGGGAGGGGACCTAGCTTTCTACCACTCCCCCGGCGAAGGGCACTCACAGTTTTGAAAGCAGGGTGTCCTTGTGCGTTGGGGCCTCGAATCCGGGTAAGAAACGGCCAGTGTAATTGATCTTCTCCACCAGGGTGTGTGTGGTGTCTCCATACTGGGGGTGGGAAGCGGCTGGAGTCAGGGAGAGGCCCCTACCCTCCCAACCCTATCAAGGTCCCGGTGTTTTCAAGGCACCAGCCGAACTCCTGACTTCCATCGTGAATCTGCCCCTGACTCCGTGGGCGATCCTTCCTGGAATGCATGGCTACCTAACATGTTGGGTAGTGTCTTCGTCAGCCTGCCTGTAGGTCCAGAAACTGTGACGTGGGGATTCAGTTTCCTTCTTCATGGCTTTATGTTTGAGATTGAGTCTAGGCTTACTGGTCACCAAGTTCCAGGGATTTTCCTGTGTCTGCCCCTCACCCCAAAGGCTGGCGTGACAGGTGTGTATTGGCTGTGCCTGCCTTTCCCTACCCCTACCCCCAGTGCTGGGGATTGAACCTGGGTCCTTACATATGCTAGGCAAGTGCTCTACCACTGAGCTACGTCCCCAGCTCCCACTGTGCCTGGCTTTGTATGTAGGTGCTAGAGATCTGAACCCAGGTCCTCACGTTTACACAGTGGACCCTTTCCCCACAGCGCCCCTTTCGCTTCTCAGATTTTGAGTTGCTCAAGCTGGATGTGAGCCTAAGCGCCTGGGATTGGTCATCCTCCTGCCTCAGCCTCCCAGATGCTGAGATCACAGGCCTTCCTCATCAATTTTAGCCATCTTGAATATGGCTTTGAGGAAGCGGGACTCGTGGCTGCCTGCCTCCGTCTCCCGATAACAGGAGTGCTTCACAGGCTCGCCGTCCTTGTGGAGAGGGGACCGTAGGCTGGACATTGACCCCCTAGGTGCTTTCCAGACATAGGAGGGGTTGTAGCCCAAGAGACAGACCGGAAGAGGCTCGGTATGGCGGGGGTGGGGGTGGGGGTCCCACTCCAGTTCTTGCTCATTTCAGTTATGCCCCAGAAGGGGGAGGTTTGCTCAGAGATGCCATGCTAGGGTGGGGTATGGCTTCCTCAGACGCCACAGCTCCCCTCTTGTTTAAAGCTCCCACCTCTGCTGAAGCTTAGACCCCCCCCCCCCCAAGCTGTCGCTTCTCACTGGGGAGGATGCCTGGCGGCTCCCAGCAGCCTCTGAACATTGGCCAAGCATTACCAGAGATCAGTCTAGAGGAAGGCTGTACTCTGAGGCACGCGGATAGGGTAGTATAATGGGTGAGTTGGGGGTGGGTGGGTCCTGGTGTCCCGGTGGGTCCCAGGAACAGTGGGAATGGAGCATCAGGGTTCACTCACCGTCTGTAGCACCGCGAACTTCACCTTCCCGAACTTGTCTTGCTCCACCCAGGGCTCCCTCACAATTTTGGCTCCCCGTTCCCGGGCTTTCTGTATGGGAGACCAAGTTGGGAGAACGGTGAGGGCTGGAGCCTCGCAGAGACATCTTGCCTTGCTCCCGCTGTGGGCTTCTGCGTGGTCCTGATGTAAGCAGGACACCTAGCCAGCTGCTTCCGGCTGGATCCTCTGGAACCATGCCTCACGCCCAGCTGGCAGGTAGAGAAACAGGTCCAGGCTCGGGGTTGTGCTGATAGGAGGCAAAACGGGCGAGCGCGCTTGTCTGCCCTGCCGCTGCCAACTGACTCTTTGGACCAGCCCTCTCTCCAGCCCTCAGTTTCCCCTCCTTGAAGAGGAGTGGTCACATAGCAAACCGTGAACTGCCGTTAACTGAGTACCTAGTGTGTCAGAGAGACCCTGTGCCCAGCTCTCCGAACACCCGGGCTCGCACATTTTCTTAGCAGGAGCTCACGGGCTGCATGACATGCTCATATCACAGGCCAGCCACTGTTCTAGGGGTTAACCTCTCCAGTTCTGACGGTAACGTTATACGGAGGTGGTATTGCCATCTCCCTTCTGTAGCCGAGGAAACAAGGACAGAGAAATTAAGTCACGTGTTCAAAAATCACACAGCTGCTCACTGAACCTCTAAGTTCCCATTTTCTTTAATTCCACGCATTACTAGGGATGCTTCCTCGGCAAGTGCTCTACCACCGAGCCCAACCTACAAACAAGGAAACTCTTTTTCAAGGAGAGTGTCATGTAGCTTAGGCTAGCCTCAACCTCTCTATGTAGCTGAGGATCGCTTCGAACTTCTATCTCCCCTCTGAGGCTCAGGGAGTGTATCACCATGGCTGGCTCTAGACTGCCTCTTGAGAACTCCATGCTCCAGACATGATCATTTCAATCCTTTTTAGTTATTGTTGTTGTTGTTTCGAGACAGGGTTTCTCTGTGTTACAGCTCTGGCTGTCCTGGAACTCACTCTGTAGCCCAGGCTGGCCTTGAACTCACAGAGATCCGCCTGGCTCTGCCTCCCGAGTGCTGGGATTAAAGGCCTGCGCCACCACCGCCCGGCTTTCAGTCCATTTTCTTTCCAACCTTTCAGCGAGGCTATGATCATCCCCATTTTGTAGACGTGGACAAGAGACACAGAGAGCAGGCACACAGGAAAGGATGGGGTGCGTGTCACGGCTGGTCCCACTAGCATCCAGCCTGACGGGTGGGGTCCAAGTGGCAGAGGCTCGCTCTGTCCGCCCAGGTGCTTCTCACCTGCACAATGTGCTCGCAGTCTTCCACCTCGAACTCGATATCCTTCACCCCGTCGCCATGCTTCACCAAGTGGTCGCCCATCTCTGTGGCCAGCAGGAGAAACACAGGCAGTGGAGTTCCTAGCCCCTATCCCGGCCCCAGCCTCACCCTTGCCCCAACCCACGCTCTGAGCCAACTGTCAGAGCCACGCTGCCAGCCCCTGTGATGCCCCTCACCTTTATTCCAGGGGTTGAGAGCAGAAGAGAGAACAAACACAATCTAAAAAAGTGGACAAGGGGGTGGAATTGGTGGCCAGGAGAGGGTGAAGTGTGTGCCCTCCCACTTCCCTATGGCGCCCCTGGTGGGATGCAAGGCTCCACCATACGGGATCCCTGGAGCATGTGTTCCAGCTCCTTTTTTGCCTCAGTTTCCCCCACTGGTCCTCAGAGCTGGGAGCTTTCCCCTGTGGTAGCCATGCACTGGGTCCTCAGTGGTCAGTGCCTGTGAGGATCCCACGGACCAGAGACCCCTTAAACACCCTTCTCTGACATCCAGGGTTTCTAGAGCCTCTGTGGACCCAGTGCTAGACCAGTTTGAGAAGGGCGTGACACCAGGAAGATGCCATTGCCTGGGCCGAGAGTCAGGGGCAGCTTTGCCATGCGTCTTGGGACCAGCTGGGGGTGTGTCCTGAAATGACAGCGTCCCCCACGCAGGACCGCCCTGGAGCCCCCGACACTAAGGCACCTCGGCGTTTACTCACTTTGCCTTGCTTGATGACGTGGCTGACCACCTCCCGGGAGCCCGTCTCCAGGCCCTTGTAGGCCAGCGGTTCGAAGCCCATCTTGTTGCAGTAGAAGGAGGCAGCCTGGATGACAGAGTGGCAAGGGGCTCAGAGGGGTGTGGGGACCACCCCCGAGATCCCTAGAAGGGAGCCCCAGTCCTCTGTCTGCCCTCTTGTTCCTCATTTGTGGACCCTCCTAGGAAGAAAGGCTTACACCACCTCCCCACCCACCCACCCCACCCCCCCTGCTGGGGTCTGTGGCCCTGATTGTGTAATGAGGATCCAAAGTGCCAGTCCTAGCCTGGCCCGGATCCTCCCCTCGCAGTAGCCAATCCCATTTCCAGCTGGGGCCGGGCCCCCTTAAGGAGGCCTTCCGGCTTGTCCTCTGCCCCCTCCAGCCTTTCTACCTGCTTGGCGTTGCCAACCCAGAAGGTCACGGAGTGGAAATGGAGGAACCGGCCTCTCTCAGGCTGCAGGAGGGAAGAGGGAGGAGGTTGACTCCCCGGATGCAGGGTTCCCTTGCCACTGCTCTCCAGCCTCAACCCCCAAACCTAGGAGACTGCCACCCACCACCTCCATCTTTGTCTAGCCCCCAAAGACATTTCTTGCTAGAGGATCAGAGCTCCTGGAGGGTTCAGAACTGGGAACCCCCCCACAGGAGGCCTGCCCAGGGTTCACAGAAGGAAATAAGCTGGTGTGGGAACAGCATGGGTGTAAGGTAGACTGCAGACAGAATTTGAACAGGTTTTAGAGACCGGCAGGCATTTAGGAAGGGAGCTCCTCGGGAAGCCAACATTGAGTTCAGTTCAGTCAGTGGGAGCGGATGGGGATGAACTTGAGCGTGCGGGTGGACATCACACCCTCTGGCATTCTTCCTCTTTGACAAACCTTGTTCCCCTCCCAGCCCAAGGGCCCCATATTTCTCTGCTAGCTTACCTTAGGTCCCTTGTTGGTGTAGGATGTCTAGGGAGGAAAGGAAAAACACAGTGTGAGGTTTTGACACTTCAGGAGTCACCAAGGGTCGGCACTCGAGGCTACTCCCATGGCCCAGACTGACTTACCATGGTTGTTAGTGGTCACAGTTCTCGTGGTCAGAATGACTGAGACGAGAAGCCTGGGGAGGTGCTGGACAGTGTATTTACCACTGGCCGAAGGCAGGGCCCGCCCCTGGCCTGGGGAGGTTTTGAACAGTGTATTTACCATGGGGCAAAAGGCAGGGCCCGCCCCTGGCCTGGCCTTCCTGGGGGTGGGGAGCTGAGCTCCTGAGAGCGCCTAGGCTTGGGAACCTCCGAGTCAGTTCTGGCTTCACAGGGACAGGGCAGGGGTGCCATCCTCAGAGGGAGAGCAATGCTGTTGTGATCCACTGGCCCGTAGATCATAGCCAGGGCGAGAAGCCAAGGGCACATTCTCTCTAGGACCCGGGGTCGGACTGTGATCTTTGCCATCAAGATGGGAAGCTCCAAAAGCAAGGCCAGCTTAGTGCAGGGGATATCTGATGCAGGGGGAATCAGCCGGGCTGTTGGGGCTTGGTTGAAACCCGGTTTGCCAAGCAAACACGTGGATTCTATTGAGGGCAGAGCGCTGTGTTCTGTGGTCATTAGAGGCATGGGTGTAGGGGGTTTGCATCATGGAAAGTCACCAGGGCCTGGGAGCCTCCCTTTCTTTATCTGTAAAATGGGAACAATAGCCAGGTGTGGGGACACATGTCTACAATTCAAGTTCTCCAGGTCAGGCACGAGGATTCCCACAGTTCAAATCCAGCCTGGTCTACATAGTGAGTGCTTGGCCAGCCAAAGCCAGGGGTATACAATGAGATCGTTGTCACAGAAAAGGGTTTGGGTTGTGTGTGTGTGGTGATGGATAATATGGGAGGGAATCGATGGGATGACATGTAGTCTTTGGAATGGGACCTGGAGTGTGGTATGGTTCTACTTTATTTTTATTTTATTTTATTTTTCTTTTTGGTTTTTCGAGACAGGGTTTCTCTGTGTAGTTTTGCGCCTTTCCTGGAACTCGCTTTGGAGACCGGGCTGGCCTCGAACTCACAGAGATCCGCCTGCCTCTGCCTCCCGAGTGCTGGGATTAAAAGCGTGAACCACCACCGCCCGGCTATTTTTATTTTATTTTTATTTTTTTAATTTTTTTGGTTTTTTTCGAGACAGGGTTTCTCTGTGTAGCTTTGCGCCTTTTCCTGGATCTCGCTCTGTAGACCAGGCTGTCCTCGAACTCATAAAGATCCACCTGCCTCTGCCTCCCAAGTGCTGGGATTAAAGGCGTGCGCCACCACCGCCCGGCTGTGTACCCTTCTAATCTCAGCGCTGGGAAGCTGGAGACAGGAGGATCCCTAGGGCTCCCTGGGCAACCAGCCTAGTCAATCAACATGACGAGTTCCAGGCCAATCAGAGACTTCAACTCCGAAAGCAGGAACAGGGTGACCAGTCCCTGAGGAACAACACCCGTGATTGTCCTCTGACCACCACATGCACACGTTCATTACACACCATCATAACACACACACACACACACACACACACACACACACACACAGATGTGGAAATGGAGTAAACACATCTCAGAGGTTGCTGAGCTGGTGGGAACAGAGAACCAAACCCTAGCCTATTTGATTCTGAAGTTGAATCCTATCTACCCCTCCAGATATAATTTTTCCATTGTTAAATCTCTGTATTTGAGGGCAGTTATGGAGGTAGGGTGGGTGTAGGTGGTCTCGCTCCCTTATTCCTACCCGACCTGGGTGACTCTCTCCTCCCCTCACCCAGACCAGCTTCCACTTGGGGAGAAGGCCATCCACTACAACGCTGCCCTGGCCAGCAGGAACATCTTGTCCTTTGTTTGCTGTGACCAACTCAACCCCCTGCTGCTGGAACCTGGCCTGGCTTCTATCCTAGGCATAAAGCCAGCCTTTCCCGAATCCGGCAAGCACGTCATGAGCAGCCTTGGGGTTCAGGAGGCTGGAGTGGCAGGTGTCTGGCTCAGCTGGGCACAGGTGGTACCTGTACTTCCCCTCCCCTTTGGCTTTGACTTCCAGAAACGCCATGGCTCTCAGTCATATTCTAGATATGCTACCAGGTGCTCGTCCATCTTTGGGCAGTGCCTAGGGAGGGAACTCTCAGGTCTTAGCCTCTGGAGTCTCTCCTGGTTCCTTCCTCGTGCTATCTAGCTGGGCTCTCTTGGACATCAGATTAGTGGTGGTTGGATGTGACCATTGCTGCTCTTGAAGCCACCCTGTGCTAAGGGACAGATTTCAGAAGCATTGTCCAAGAAACTATTTAAAAAAATTTTTTTTGAGACAGGTTTTTTATTTGTTTGTTTGTTTGTTTGTTTGTTTTTTGAGACAGGGTTTCTCTGTGTAGTTTGGTTGCCTGTCCTGGATCTTGCTAGACCAGGTTGGCCTCGAACTCACAGAGATCTACCTGGCTCTGCCTCCCCAGTACTGGGATTAAAGGCATGCGCCACTGCCGCCCAGCAAGACAGGGTTTCTTTGGTAGGTTTGGCTGTCCTGGAACTAGCTCTGTAGGCCAGGCTGGCTTTGAATTCACAGAGATCCACCTGCCTCTGCCTCTCAAGTGCTGGGACTAAAGGTGTGTGCCACCACCACACAGCTTTTAAACAGGCTTTTAAAGGTGGTGCTGTGGCTCATGCCAGCTATCTTAGTACTTAGGGGTAGAAGTAGGAGTTCAAGGCTAGCCTAGGCTACATGAAAACTCTTTCTCAAAACAACTAACCAACCAACCAGACAGACAGACAGACAGGCTTCTATGATTCATCCTGCATTACACCCCAGAGTACAGAAAGAGCTTCCACAGCAGTCCTAGGATACAAGGGGGCCTCGGCTGGTCTTCAGGATCCTGAGCTCCAGGAAAGTTCCCTTCTTCCTCAAAAATGACAAATGTGGTTGGCTGTGCCCAAACAGTTTGGTTTATACCATATGAAGCTGGGGGTGCAGCTCAGTGGTAGAGAGAATGGGCTTCACCCCTGGTACCAGTAAGAAAGGAAGAGAGTGGAAGGGAGAGAAAGATAGGGAGGGAGACAGGAAGAGAGAGAGAGAGAGAGAGAGAGAGAGAGAGAGAGAGAGAATGAATTAATGAGCATGCAATGGACCATCTACTCTTGCCCTTTCCGGAATAGCATGTGGATAAATAGCATAGTATGTAGGCTTATAAATCTTTTTCATTCAGTGTAATGTATTTGGTGGTTTTTCTAGGTTGGTTGTGTGCAGACTGGTTTTGTTGTTGTTTTTAAGTGCAAGAGATTGGGACTGGAGAGATGGCTCAGCGGTTAAGAGCGCGTGCTACTCTTGCAGGGGACCTGGGTTTGGTTCCTACTGTCTACTTTTCAGTTCATAACTGTCTCTCATTCCAGTTCCTGGGGACCTGACACCCTCCGAACCTCTGAACTGTAAGCCAACCCCAAAATGAAATCTTTTCCTTTATAAGACTTCCCATGGTTGGCCGGGGCGGTGGTGGCACATGCCTTTAATCCCAGCATAGGCGAATCTCTGTGAGTTCGAGGCCAGCCTGGTCTACAGAGGGAGATCCAGGACAGGCACCAAAACCACACAGAGAAACCCTGTCTCGAAAACACCAATAAATAAATAAATAAAATTTTACGGAACAAAAGGGAGGTGGTGGCAGACAGAAATAGTGAGACCTCAGAGGTGCGATGCCATATGTAGACTGTCTTTCTCCCCAGCCGGCCACTCAGCCCTCCGAAGCAAGGGCTAAGGTCACAGCTGGAGACAGAGAAGGTGACATGTGCCAGGTACTCATCTCATCCGTTATCAGTGCTGGCACAGCTGGGCAGGGCCATTGGGGTGGAACTGCTTTTTATCTTTTGAAGCATAGTGCTTTAACTTTGGGGTGACAGGCAACGGTGTCTCCAGGCATCGTTGAACACCTAGAGAGTCCAGAGGCTCTCTGGAGCCTTTGGGGACATGGAATACGGGGGCTCTAGGCACTGGGGACTGTCACCGTGAGCTGTTCTCAGCTTCTAAGTCTCAGTACCCCTCACTTTTAAGGCAGGGAGCCCTGAAATCCAGCGGGCGTGAAGGTTTTCCT